CTAAGCGAGACACAGCGAGAGTCTGGTGTCTGCACTGTTTAAATTAAAGCGCCAGATGCTTTCAGTCAGGCTGTCCCGACAGGACTTGACCATGACCTCGCTCCTGTTGGTCACAACAGTCCAATGGTATTCTTGGCCAGTTTTGTCCAACGGACAAAGGAAAAGCAAAGTCAACGGCACCATTGTCTTATCGAGAGCAAATGGCTTTATTGTTGTGGCAGAAGCAGGAAACTTTTGTTTATTGAAAAAAAAAAAGAAAAAGCAAGAAAAAAAAAAAGATACTATGGGGTCAAGTGTAACTCCGTGGAAATGCCACGTCTGCTCTTCAGTGAAGAAGCTGTTTAGAGTCTCACAGAAAACTTTTTGACTGTATTTATTTATTGTTGCAAAAAAAAAAGACGCTTTTTTATTGCTGCCCTCATTTGTCAGCTAATTATTTTTTCTTATAAAATCCAGCCCTGGTCACGTGTATCCATCCTATATCTTATCATGATTCCTGTAGCTGAAGTACAAGGCGACCTCTAGGTGTCTTTTCTTTCTATGAAAGGAGCTGCTATGTACACATGTGCACACACAACTGGGAATCAACAATGAGTTTATTGTTCATGGTAGACACAGATGAAGCTTGCAAAAAGGCTGGGATAAGTAAGTGGTCCTGAACTACAGACTTCGTTGCCTTGAATACACCAGTACAAACTGTCATTCACTGCACCAGGCTAAGTGAGCAAAATCTATTTGAAGGTATCTTGTTTGTAAACATTTGTCAGATTCTAATTTTTTTCTTTTTGTATTAAAATTCAACTATGGATGTATATGAATCGAAATAAATGGAGATAATTTTTCTCCCACAGATGGAGGTCTCTTTGAATGTGCGCTAATGATTACTTGTAAGCCCTTGTGGGGAGAGGGAGAGCCACCAGAAATCCCAGGCAGTTTCTCCCGTAGAGCAGAAGCCCTTCTCTTCATGAGTCCCCACCCTTTGTCATCACATCAGAGAAAACCTCTAGGGAGCTGACCACCCTCTGAGAACAGGAACGTGACACAGTACAAGCCAACTTCATCCCCACTTTCTGTGATTCTAGACAGCTCCCTGTCTGTGGGGTGAAGGTTGTGTAGGTGACCTTGGCTGGGCTCCTTTGGGAAGGGTGCAGGCAGCAGACAGGCATGTTCTGTGTATGCCTCCTGCCAGCGCCCTCTCTTTCCCCTTGTGCTGCTCACCGTGTCGTGAAGTCAGCGGAGTTGGGTTGTGCAGCTTTGCAGGCGTTCTAGACTTTGCACTAGATATTAGCCTTGTCCTGCTGAGTTCTAGAATCTACCTAGTTTTGTTTTTTTTGGTTTTTGGTTTTTTTTTAAGTCTTCTCTGTTTGGTGTTGCCCTGCTATGCAAAGCCTTCCCCAGCCCTTAGTTTCTCGAAAGGAAACTGTGGCAACAGTTGGCAATTCTTTCTCTTTACAGGCTCAGGTGTACAGGTTCGGGGTTCACACGCTCTGTGGAAGCCCACTCCCTCTGTACATAAAGATGTCGCTGTGGCCTATGCTTACAGCTGATGCTCAATGTGGAAACAGTTTTGCTTAAACTATTAGATGGAAGTCGTTAAATACAGGCTATTTTATCCTTTTAGTTTGCAAAAAGAAAATGTTCCATGTTGTAAGCACTGTGCTGATGCAAGAATTCTACATTTTAATGAGATAAGGTGATTCTGCATCTAGCCACACCGCAGTACTCCCGTCCCAGGCAGTCACACATCTAGGTATAGCTGGGCTCGATCACGTACGCTTGTTGCTGCAAGAGCTTTCCTACCTGTAGGCAATAGATTGCTATGTTTTTAAAAATTGTAGCAAATTCTAAATAATTCTTTTTGTACGTAATAGGACATTTCATCCTAAAAAAAAAATAAAGTAATGTTTTTGACATTGGATTCTGTGCAGTTTCTAATGAAACAATGGTCGGTTGGTTTGTTGTTTGATATATTTTCTGTAGCTGTTGGCATTGCCAAGTTGTACAGAAGGGGGGTGGGTTGTGAATTTCTGAGACCAGGAAGATGTTAATTTCATATTGTGTACTTAATGGTATAAAGACTTTTGCAATTTCTATCACCATATAAAGACATTTTATAATTTTATCAGACTATAGAGCTTTAGTCTTTCAGAAGGAATTTTTGAAAAAAATCGTACATTCTTATTTCAAAAGCTGCTTTTCTACGAATCTGATTTGAGGAACCTCTGCTACTGAATAAAACGTTAAGCTGTTGGCTTGGGCAGCCTGAGTGCTCCGATGTGCATTGGTGATGTTAGGACATTCTGCCTGGGCTTCGCACCTATAACCTGTATGTTCTTGGCTTTGATAGATTTCTCTGGCTAAAAGTATTTTTAGCATTTCCTGTGCTTCATCTCCAAATTCACAATTTGAGACCATTTCATAAGAGATATTTTCATAATGTCTGCAAGGCTTTTTTTCTCCTGTGCAAATTCTTCAGGGTTTGTATTTAACTATCCTACAGTAGGTCAGCCAAATTGTGATTGTTTGGAGATGTTTCTACAGTCAAAATGGCCTTTTTCTATTTGGAGTGGCCTGGAGTGCTGTGTAGGAGCCCTGACGATGTGTTGCTGTTTGTAGCCTTCCTCTTAAGATCTGCAAATAAAACTTCTTGCCCTGTCTCCGTCCATTTGTGTCACGCTGTAAGAGCCAAACCTGGTGGCTGCACACTCAGATCGACGGCATTCACTCTGTGTGTGTGTGTGTGTGTGTGTGTGTGTGTGTGTGTGTGTGCGTGTGTGTAAGTTTATTTTATGTGTATGTGCACCAGGTGTGTGCCTGTTGTCCACAGGGGGCAGAAGAGGATATTGGATCCCCTGGAACTAGAGTTTACTAAGGTCCTAAGCCACCAAGTGGTTGCTGGGAACTGAACCCAGGTCCTCTGCAAGAGCAGCCAGTGGTTTTAAGGGCTGAGCCATCTCTCCGGTCCCCAGGATTCAATCTCATCCCAGCGGAGGCAGATTCCAGCAGGGTCTTGAACTTGAACTTGGAAGCATTATTCTCTCCTGAGCAAAGTACTGGCTGATACATGGAGAGCGGGGACAAGAATACTGGGGTTGGGGGTAGATATCCGGTGTTGTTTGAGGAATTTTTAGATTCATAGAATGAGATTCTGAGACAGACATTTCTGAGAATAGGATACCCCTTGATCCAGCCAAATTTCACCTAGCAAAATACTGTCTTTTCAGACTGGAACAGAGACCACGCAGCAGCCGAGGGAGCGCCTTGCCAGCTGCAGGCAAGAGGTCTTGCAATGCATCCCCTTGGTTACCTTAAATGAGTGCAGAAGAGAACTGCATGATGCCATATGATATTTAAAACAGTATCACACACACCAAAAGGCAGGAGGGGGAGGGAGACTGTGTCCTTCCCCCACTCCATGAATCCTTGAAGTAACAGCTTAATTTGAAAGACAGACGGTATTTAATTTGTCTTGAAGGCAACTGAGTTCTTTATTACTTTATTGCTGAGGAACATAAACACAGGACCCTTTGGTCTTTAGAGCAGGGACCCACGTGCTGGGGGTGGTGGTGGAATCTATCGATGGGACAGAAGAATTAGAGACAACAATGATTTGCTCATTAAATTTTTCTATAAAATTAGAAATTGTAATCAAGGTCCTGTGTGAATGTTGAAAAAGTGATTCTTCAACCTTTTTGCTAGCCTGGGATCTCCAGGGTTCCTTTCCGCCTCCTTTCCCAGTCTCCAGCCCCACCACTGACTGCAACTGAGCCTTGCTAGCCTTGCCTTGCCGACCTAGCCTTGAGTGATGGCTTTTGTTCCTATTCAGGCAGTCTCTACAAGCGGTCTGCATTTCTGCAGTAACCCTAACCTCCAAGAACACTGAACCTCGGAGTCTGACCCTGGTGTTTGTATGCTTATATGTCTGTAGGGATGTGTGAGCGCAGGTGCCCAAGGAGGCCAGCAGAGGGCGCGAGATGCCCTAGAGCCAGAGGTGCGGGGACTTGAGAGCCACTTGATAGCAATGCTGGGAGTGGACTCAGTCCTCTAAGGATCTGTGCAATCTCAAGCTCCCACTGCCTCTTTCTGGGACAGACCCTCTTGTAGCCCAGGCTGGCATTACAGGCTTACTCTATCATATTCAGCATTCAAAAACAAAAAAGATTTTAATGAATTTAGACATGTTTCATCTTTGGAAATTTCTCTAAAAGACTGTTAGCTGGAAGTTTGTAATAGAGTTAGTTGCAAGGAGTCTGCAATGCCCTTTGTCCCGTGACCGTAAGTAGAGGGCTAATCTGGTCTCTTTAGCAAGCACCAGCCAAGGTTGCATGTGACTTTTTCCCCCAAACTAAGAAACAACAACAACAAAAGAAGTCCCTTAGTAATACTTTGCCACGAAGTAGAACCTCTCAGCTTTATTTTAGTTGTGCTTCCCTTATCTAAGGCCAAAGAGGCAATAGTTACCATACCTGCACGTGGCTATTTTTTCCCCCAGACGAGTCATCCTGGCTGTCCTGGAACTCACTATGTAGACCAAGCTGGCCTCAGACTCACAGAGATCAGCTGCCTCTGCTTCTCTGGTGCCGAGATTAAAGGTGTGCACCACCTCCCCAAGCATTATGTTCTTTTTTGGGACAGGGTTTCATGTACCTTTGGAGCCTGTCTGGAACTCACTCTGTAGACCAGGCTGACCTCGAACTCACAGAGATCTGCCTGTCTCTGCCTCCGGAGTGCTGGGACCACTGCCCAGCGATTTGTGCATTCTTGGCATTTATTCTAAGATTAACTGAAATACAGCCTGGTCATCTGAAAGGAAAGAGTATGTCCTTGTGGACTCACGTATAAAGTGATTTACTCAAGCAAACAAACAAATGGCTCCTGCACTGGCCTTTGCACTGTCAATAGTAAGCACTGCTTCCAGGGTTTGGGAAGGAAGCTTAGAAAGGCTTTTCCTCAATGTTTAGGATCACTGAGGGGGAAAAAAATGCCAGGTGCATCCAAGATCTGATTTCAAGGCAAGATTTACTGCTTTACAAACACAATGGTGATACTGGGTCTTAACAGAAAAATGACATCAGATACACCAGAAAACATGCCGGAATAGAAGCCAGTTTGACACAAAACAGGTTATTGGGAGCAAGGAGGCATGACAGTACACAGGGGTACATCAAAAACACACTTTGAATGATGTTTTGCTTGAATTGGCCCTTGAGATGTATAATTTTCATACTTAGCCTGGGCTCTGACCTTAGTGTCGCCTCTGACACTTCATATGTAAATGAATTCTGATGGGGATGTTTACTCATGTGGAATTCAAAACTCGATGCTTTAAATATGAAATCTGGCTTGACACATGATAGATACTATTCAAAGTTGTATATTTAAATTGAAGAAATGTTTGTGAGCTATTTCTACTGGGAAAAAATGTATTAAATTAAAATAACTTAAAAACAACACAAAGTAGTGTGATCTGTTGACCTGGCAGGTCTGAGCTGTGTCTGTCACTGTCTGTCACTGCTGTGACAGTTTTACCACCGTGCTGTGGAGCATACCTTGTCAGCATTTTGTATATAAAGTGACAGCCTCAGAGTTAAGCTGCGCATGTAGTTCTTAAGGTAGCTAGCTGTGGGCCCAGTTTCAAGTAGCAGAACCCACACACACACACACTATGTGCAGACCAACCTTCCGTCTTACTGCCGAGTTCCCAGGCTCTTGGGATGCACAAGTGTTGAGTTGATCTGTTCAAATGCACCGAGCGTGGCTGGCATTTCGAACTTGCCACTCCCGTTTTCGGTTAAATCTTTTCACGTAGCTGCTGCTATCCCTGAGCAGTCCGTCTCCTGGACGCAGGCGCCCTCTCAGGACCTGGAGCAGAGCAGTAGGGAGCTGCCGTCTCTTATGGTAGATGTGGCCCATCACAATATACCGGCTTCCTGAACAAAAGAACCCAAAGATAAACACGGTCATTTAAATGCCAAAAACAGTGAAATCTGAGCTTGATTCTTTCTTAATTTATTTTTATTTTATGTTCATTGGTGTTTTGTCTGCAGGTGTGTCTGTGTTGTGTCAGGTCCCATGGAACTGAAGTTACAGACAGGTGTGAGCTGCCATGTGGGTGCTGGGAATTGAACCCAGGTCCTCTGGAAGAGCAGTCAATGTTCTTAACCACTGAGCCATCTCTCCAGCCCCTGAGCTTGACTCTATGCATGTGGCAACTTATCTAACCTACAGGCAACAAGTGGGAAATCTATAGAAAAGATAACCTGCAGACAGCCAACATTACAGGAAGAAAGCCCAGAACATCTCTAGGAAGAAATGAAGAACCAGGTATCCCCAGCACTGCCACCAACCCCAGCGCTGAGGAGAACCCCTTAGTCACCTCTGAAAATGGTGTTTTGTCAGGAATCTATGTGTTAGCATATCAGTGTTTGGGATGTTTGGGGTTTTTTTTGTTTTGTTTTGGTTTGTTTCCAGTTGATTTTTTGAGGTAGTGTTTATCTGTGTAGTCCTGGCTGCCTGGTACCAAGCTGGCCTCGAACTTCTGTAGATCCACCTGCTTCTGCCTTCCGAGTGCTGAGATTCAAGATATGCACCACCATGCCCACCATTTATTGTTTTTGGTGGGGTTTTTTGTTTGTTTGTTTGCCTTCCTTTTGAAGAGTTATATTAGCCAAAGCTGGCTTTGAACTCTATATAGGTGGGCTGACCTTGAAGTTCTGATCCTTCTGCCTCCAAATCCCTCCTGGGTGCTGGAGTTGCAGGTGTACACTACCAATCCTGGCCTGTTTTGTGCCAATCGCTCTTCTCATATTTGTGGGAGAGCTGAAATGTACTGTAATCTAAATCACATTGGTTACTACTGTCCCACAAAGCTGGGATTGAGCCCCACCAGTAACCCAGCATGGATTGAAGCAGGAGGATTGCCATGAGTTCGAGGCCAGTCTGGGCTCCATATCAACAGGCTGTCTCAGACCATCTTGCCTAGCATGTGTGAGGCCCTGCTCAATTCCTAGTCTTTTGGGGGTGGGGGGCTTAGGGGGTGTGGTGACCAAGAGAAGCCGGGCTGCAGCATTTAGGTCCCCAACAGCAGTATAAAGGATACCTTTAATCCCAGCATTGGGGGGGGGGGGAGGGAGGGAGGAGCAGAGGCAGGCGGAGGCCAGCCTGTACTACAAAGTGAGTTCCAGGACGGCCAGGGCTACAGAGAAACCCTGTCTCGAAAAACTAAATAAAGGACACGTATGAGCTGGTCTTTTGGGTCAGTTTTGATACCAGGCTTAAATTCTGGACACGGCCTATGGCAAGTGGAAGAGTCCAGGGCTAGTATGTGCACGCGGAAGAAAAAGCCGTCGGGAGTGATGTAGAGGCGGCTCAACTTGTACAGCCCGTCGGGGTCCACCAGTAGCGTCACCAGCCGCAGGCCCGCGCCCAGCACGTCCACGTCGTGCACGATTCCGTTCACGGCTACTTTGGGGAAACGGGATTTGGAGAAAAGCATTACAACGAGCGCCAGGGTGGAGAGGGGCGCGCGGGTTCCCGGCAGGGTGGGTGCGCTCACCAAACTCACTGGCGCAGAAGGCCTCGTGTTCGTCCGCGTCCGCGCTGCAGGCGCGCGCGCAGGACTGGATCTCCAGCTCGGCGTCCCCAGGT